TATATATATATTATGTAAATTTTATTTATACTTATTTAAATGATTTGTTGTTGTACTGATGGAGGCATGTGCCGAAACGTTGACTTGTGTATTATGTATAATTATTATTAAAGCTTAAATTATATTGATATACTGACACGAATCGTTGTTGTCTAACTAATCTTCATTTAATAAAGGGTTTATACGAAAAATTATGTTTTCAAGGCTTGTTTAATTTTCAATGTATTTAAAGGGTTTATTGCAAATGTACTGAAATATTTTCTTGGGAGAAGGGAGATCTCCAACGTGCCACTTCGCTTCGCCATCCAATTCTTTGGCTTGGGGTGGGTGGGGGGCGTGCTTTTGGGAGGGCGTAACGTTCTTGGTACTCGCTCAACGGCTCCCTGACGCCCTTTTCTAAAGTATATTTTCTAGTTGTATTTTTTTTCTTCTTCAGAGCACCGTTCCTTACTATAAAATAAAAGTACATTCAAAGCTCCAGTGACTGCAAACACTACACTATCAAGTTTGTTGACTAATACCTAGACTTCACTGAGATAACCATTTTGTTTTAAGTCTCGGATAACAAATCCGTTTATCGGGTCATTGTTGAAAACTGCAGAGAAAGGTCAGTAAGTTGTTCGCAGAAGTATAAGCAGAGAGTGTATTTATTCAATGGTTTCCTAGTGGCTTTCTTTGAAAAGACATCCGAATTTTTAATTTTAAAACAACAGTATTCAGCAGGCGGCGGAATCACTGATGTCAAAGTTTTTCATTAGCCATTTACAATCAATTAATTTTAAAGGAAACAAATATATATTTTTTTTTAATGATAATGCTAATTATAACTTTATGGCACTCCGACAATTCTTCCAACGATTTTATGTTACTTAAATTATTTTTATTATTATTTTAAACATATTATTATTATTTTGAGCTTTTAATAATTTTTATTTTTTAAAATAATTATTTATTACTATTAATATTAATATTAATGGTGAGCTTTTATGAACTGTCTGAGAATATGCACACACAAAGTATATAAAAGTAACCAAAAAATAACATAGACCAATTTTCTTTCTTCTTCAAATTTTTATTATACCGGCTAAAAATAAATCACACAAACATTGCAGTAATTCAAGAATATCTGAACGAGTTCTCGCAAATAAACCAGGACTCAAGACCAGCAGGTCTATAAAACTCTTCGATAAAATCTCAACGACAAAAACAGGATGGACATTCACATTAGAGCCATATGATATGGATGTAAACGAGTACTCACATACACGCGTCATGGAAAGTAAGGGGATAATACAAGATATGAGTCAGAAACTCACAGAGACACACTCACATACACACGTCAAGGACAGTAAAGGGATGATACAGGACATGAGTCACAAACTCACAGACAGAGAAACACACTCACATACACACGCCAAGGACAGTAAAGGGATGATACAGGACATGAGTCACAAACTCACAGAGAAACACACAAACATAACACAAATGCACACTCGCGATTGACACGGTGAATGTCTGAAGCGAATGCCGGGGCACCAGTTGTTGAAAAAAATACTGCATATTCTAACAAATTTGTTCCGAAATTCACAAACAGGATTCGCTTCCGTTATATCTTTCACACATCAATCTCACGTTAAGTATTTTTTTTCCTCTCTGAAGCATTGAATGGCGAAATAACTTACAACAGTAAATATTTAATCCCTCTGTTTTTTTTGTTGTTGTTTTTTTGTTGTTTTTTTTTTTGCGAAGATTAAGCTCGGTGACAAGGCACCATTTAGAAGAAAGAGACATTTTCTCAAAGCCTGCAACTCCACAATCCAAAACTTTCTCACATAATAGAGTTTCATGTCCTACTCTGCTTGATCAATGCACTCAACAATGAAATGTCGCCTTTGGTATTCTGAACAATCCATCGTCAGTTATCTAAACAATGAAATTTCCTTTTCTTTTTTTTTTTTTGCTAATCTGAACACACAATCTATCTAAAGTAATCTAAACAATGACATGTCATTACGTGGTATTCTGAACAATCTATACAAACAATGACATGTCATTTTGGGTGAAAGGAGCAATTAAACTTAACGATGAAATGTCATTTCCTGGAACTGAAAAAAATCAGGCTGTACAACGTCATGTTATTCTAGGCACTCCGAGCAGTCCATCTAAACAATGACATGCCCCTCGGAGTCCTTCAACTCTAGGCTCACTTGCCTCGTCTGGACACTGACAGCCCCTTCGCTGTCGGTGTCGCTGCTGCCGTCGTCGTCGTCCGAGACGGTCTCACCTTTCGCCTTGCCATTTCTGCGTCTCAACATTTGCCGCCTCTTGACCCAAGACACACTTCCGGTGGCGTCGGCGCTCCCCCCGCTGTGCCTTGGCGTGCCGTCAGGGGCGATGCCCAGGACGTAGTTCATCGCACTCCTCACGGGGCCGAGGGGTTTGATCTTTTTGAGCTCTTCGTGTCGCTCTCGTTCTCTCTCCTCGTCTGTCTTCAGGCTGTCCATGACTGTTATCGGTCGGTCGCTGATTGGAATTTTGCGCCCCTCTTTTCTGGCTTTCATTAGGGCGTGGACGTAGCCCTTCCGGTGGATTCGAATCTGTGGAAAGTGTTTGTGTAAATCTCAGATTTAAAAAAATTTGTTTTAAAAAAATTCATTTAAAGTCATAACAACTTGTTGTGAGGTAGTGTTATCTGCTACTGTAAACAAGAACTTCAACTTAATTTTTGAATTGTACAAATATTCTTTTTTTTTTTTTAATTATTTTATTCAAAATTAAGTAAATAATGTTGAAATATGAGTTTCATGAAAAAAAAAAAGTTGGTTTTTAGGTCAAATTTGACACTTAGTATTATCGTCTCAGTTTCATAAGGACAATATCAATATATTCTCTTACACTGGGGTTGTGTAAAAGTGTGTATGTCACCATCCAGTTGAATCTCGCAGACAGGTTGATTGGTTTCTTCCTGACACTATCCACTTGATCAATTTTCGTTACTAGTTGAAAAGAAACAACTGAAGTTATATTTTCTGTAAACAATTGAATTTTTTTTTTAATCTCTTTTTTTTTTTTCTTGTAAAATTTTAAAGTGAAAATTCTTTTCCTCCAATTCCTTTTATATAAACTCTTTCAAAAACTGTTTTTATGCTATGAATGTAGGGATATCGTATTTAACATTATTATACTTTTCAAATCCCCAAAACAAGCAAGCGCCCCAGTGCTTTACGCGGTGTCCCGTCCCCCCCCCCCCCCCCCCCNCCGTTATTTACACTCCCTATCACATTCAATGTTTTAAAGAGGTGCCCTACGGTGACGTCACATTTTTCAATTGTTGAAAGTAGTGCTCTACTGGGACGTCACATTGCAATGTTTGAAAGTAGTGCTCTACTGGGACGTCACATTTCAATGTTTGAAAGTAGTGCTCTACTGCGACGTCACATTGCAATGTTTGAAAGTAGTGCTCTACTGGGACGTCACATTGCAATGTTTGAAAGTAGTGCTCTACTGGGACGTCACATTTTAATGTATCTTTGTTATATATTTTATATATTTTAATAAAAAGTGCACATGATTTGAAATGGATGAACGCATTGCATTTTGTATTTCTATTTATTTACTTGAAAGGCTAAAGCCATGAAGGACGTTTTTTCACCTGGTTGTCCGTTCTCAATGTCAGTTCTAACATGTTTCAGCTGTTTGCGCACCAGCTCAACGCTTGTGTCTCCAACTTTGCCGGCTTTCCGCGCTTTGCTCATTGAGGCCAGGATGCGTATGAATACATTGACAACTGGATGCGTGTGTGCGGCCTCCATGTGGATGAATCCTTGGTAAGCCTGGAATCCTGGAAGATTAGGCAAATTGTACTTTTTGGTGGTCGAAATGTAGCGTAGCAAAGCAGTGGGGGAATTTCATTCATCGCAGACATCTTGAACATACAGGCACTTCTTATTGTCTTGTTTTTCAACTAATTTAAGAACTATTTAATTTTGCTCTGGTTATTTCTTTTGTGCTCAATAAGACCCACATAGCCAGGGCCAATATCTTCACTCTGTACACTGTACACGGAGTTGCAAAAAATCACCTTTTGGTAAAAGATATAGCTCAAGATTTACTACTCTACATTTACTAAAGCCGATTACGGAGCCAGAAAATAAAATTGAACCAGCAGCAAATAGAGTTTTAATCTTAATGTAAATCGTAATCTTTATATTTAGAAAACGACTTTTTAAAATACACTCAGCTTATTTATAAGTTAATAAATATATGAAATCAATTTTTTTTAAAAAAGGAAATAGCAAAATTAGAGTCATAGAGTGCGGTAAATGTGATAGATAATTAAACTGTGACATTTTTTAAAGTTTAAATGTTAGCTATTTTAATGTTTATGTAAGTTTTTTTTTTAAATATCCAAATAGTGTTCCGATTCTCAGATAGATTTAAATTTTGATCAACTTGTGCTCATTCCTCATAATGTTTACCTGGGTCGAAGAATTCAAATTTCCTCGGGAGCGTGCTGTTGTCAAGCCGAGCTAGGAGCAAGGTGCCCACGCCAATGGCCTTGAGGATACGCAGGAGGCAGGAGACGAGCCCCAGGAAGATGTTGAAGAAGAACATGAAGTAGGTGAACACGAAGTAGAAACGCCTGGAGTAGGTAGGGCAAATATGATGATCTGATCAAATGTTCTATCGATGGTGAGCAGGAGATCTTCGACAAATGCTATAATCTATTTCATCAAATTTTTTCATCTATTTCAACAACAGTTTTCCTCTCTTTCGACAAATGCTATAATCTATTTCAACAAATGTTTTTCATCTATTTCAGCAACAGTTTTCCTCTCTTTCAACAAATGCGATTATCTATTTCATCAAATTTTATCATCTATTTCAACAATGTTTATCATCTCTTCAGCAAATATTATCTTTCGGTAGCTAAATGGTGAGATGAACAATTTCTTGCAATAAGAAAACAAGAGGTTATTATTCCTGGGCAAGGATATGGGTTCATTTGTGGAGCAACAACAACAAAATAGTGCTCATCGTAGCCACAGCTATCAAGCGTTAAGAGCATGAACTCGAGTTAAGTTTTTCATATGCAATAGTCACTAACAGCTCATGGGAAGGAATTTTCTTTGTTTTGAATCGTTAAAATCTACTTCCCTGGCGTCTAAAGTAAGTTGCATTGTTATGGAATTCGCATCCTTTAATTTATATCTCATTAAAAACTCTTTTTTTTTTTTTTTTTTTTTTTTTTTTTTTTTAATCGTTTTTTTTTTTTTTATTTGAATCGTTAAAATCTACTTCCCTGGCGTCTAAAGTAAGTTGCATTGTTATGGAATTCGCATCCTTTAATTTATATCTCATTAAAAACTCTTTTTTTTTTTTTTTTTTTTTTTTTTTTTTTTTTTTTTTTTTTTTTTTTTTTTTTATTTTTTTTTTTTTTTTTTTTTTTTTTTTTTTTTTTTTTTGCAGACGTATTCATCTTGTATTAATACAGACAATTGCAATATTGAAAATGACACTTTGAATAAGATGAAAAAAGGCGTTATAACATCTTGAGAAAGGCACGGTTCAAAAAACAACAACAAAGTATTGCTTATGACATTATTGCAATGACTACTGACCTGTTGTCCAGTCTCAAATATTGACCATCCTCCTGGAGAAATATATACCTGGCCAAAAGCCACTGGACAATCATGAGCACGATGGCTATCACGACACTGGGCCTGTGATTGGAAATACAGAATGATTGTGGAAGCTAGCAGTCATAAGTTCACTTGGCCCTAATCAATCTAGAACATCAAATACTCTGACAGGTCTTCTTCGGCCTCTGCCTTGAAGGGGCTCATCATCTACCCCGCCCTTCTCAGTTACAAGTCAGTTAGATGTTGACTGTGTAGGTTTGACTTTAACTGATAATATTCAAAAGCAACTTTTAAACAATATTTCTGTGTCGAAATAAGATGCGATCACGAAGTCAGTTTTTTAACGTCTTTTTAGCGAGTTGGCAATTAGAACATAACCCTATTAGACTTATTTACTATATATATATATATATATATATATATATATAAATATATATATATATATAAATATATATATATATATACATATATATGTATGTATGTTTGTGAAACCAAGATTTTATTTTCGTTCTAGGAAAAAATCAACCATGTTTCTAGAAGTTGAATATATGACTGGATAAAAAATAAAATAAAACATTTAAGTTGAATACGAAGTGTTGAACTGTGTCTAAATCTGAATAATTTACTGTGGAAAGAAATGTTCGGAAAGTTTCAATTTAGACATCGGTCATATTACGTATTCCCTTATGCATTAGAAATCATTCTTGAGGAATTCTATGACAACCATTATAACTACTTAGTCCAGGATTGTATATTTAAAATTAAAATTATCCAATGATCCTCTCCCCCCCCCCTTTTTATGACCCCATCCCCCTTACCTCACCCCCGCAAAAATTCACAAAACTATTTTATTCTTCGGCCCATGTTAAAAATTATTGAAATAAATTTTTTCGATAATTTTTCCGTGATTAAAGATTGTTGTCCCCCCCCCTCTCTCTTAAATCTTTATTGAGATCTCCACTCACCATAACTGTAAGACTTTGTTGACGATAAATTCAGTGACTTCGAACATGAAGAGGTGGATCAGGGTAGATACAGCCAGGCAGATCAAAGCGATGATCACAAAGGTCACGATGAACGCTGAAAGCACAGGCATCATGTTATGGAAAGGTGATGGGATCATCATCCAAGCTGATTTACATTGAGATCACCGAAATTTGTCCTTGTGACGTTTTACCAGAACGATAGAGGAACAGAAATTTTTTTTATTTTTTTTTAAATTTAACTTTACACACAGGGATGCCAAGAGTCCATAAATTTACGGACATTGCTCAAGGACTTTAAAGTGAGACACAAATGGAGTTATCAGCACTTTTGTCTTATTCTTTGCTTATGCTTGTCTAACCAGTCCTAAGCCAGAGAAAATTAAACACTGTTGATATTCCAATAAATGAAACTGATGTTACACAGAACAGTTTGATTTATATAACTTAGATTTATTACTTGATCGAGATATGGGTCACAGATATTTTAATTGTTCACTTTTAAATAAATGTATAAGAAAAAATTATATTAGTAAAAAAATTATTGAGGATTAAAAATGCCTGTCCGTAAACTTTCTCGTCTTGAGTTTGCAACCATGATTATATAATCTAAAGTAAATATATGAGAAGACAACCATTATTATATAATCTAAAGTAAATATATGAGAAGGCAACCATGATTATATAATCTAAAGTAAATAAATGAGAAGACCTCCATAATTTGGTGTTTAATTGTGTGTTTTCTCGTGAACCTTCGAAGAGGTGGGGGTGGGGCGTAGGCAAATATTTTAACACATGATTGAATGTAAGTAGATTACGCCTACCCCAGACGAAGTAAGCCACTTGATAACCGGCGTACTTGATGCTGCCTGTCTGAAAGAAAAATCTCATCCAATTTATGAAATCGGTTATTCAGATGTTGAAATTTGAATTTATTTGTTTATAACAGCAGTTATTTACCCTATTCTTTTTTTTTTTTTTTTTTTTTTTTTTTTATTGTTTTTTTTTTCTCTTTTTTTTTTTTTTTTTTTTTTTTTTTTTTTTTGTAACGGTTTAGTTATATCAGAAAATACCTTTAGTGTGACTGGTTTGATGTATAATTCCTATAAAGAAATATTTTAATTTCTGCCCTACAGCTATCATACTTTTCAATGGCAAATGAACATGCATAATTCTTATCATTGTTATGTCTTCATGTTCAAAACTTTCATTGTAGTACCCTGAAATTTGGCGCCCTCTCCCAAATACACACATTTTTCATGGAAATGTCAATTACGACGCCCTCTAAAGATTGCACCCTGTATCCCCCCCCCCCATCCTCCCACCACTTGTCCTTTCCCGCTGGTCTGGTTGTTGTATTATCATTATGAAACCATGTGAACCACATGACATTTATTGATTGTAAACCATACGGCGTGTTAGATCTATAGAGGACAACGTACACACAACGACACTGGTCCCTGGTCAGCCGGCGGTGGTATCGTGCTGAAATCTCCTCGGTACATGGCGTACAAATTGGTCCTGGAGACAAGGAGATGAAGTGTAACATGATTTAATCCGTGTTGCTTCAAGCAGATTAGAAGTCTTATCTAGTCTGGAAATTAATCAAGATATGTCAGCCTGTCTCAGATAATCATTCCCTTCACTTTTCTTATATATATATATATTATTTACATTTGAAAGTGACCGATTTTATTAGTTAAACATGTATATACAGCTTGTCAATTACACATATTGTTATAATAAATTATTTGAAGTTAAAATACTATCTGATCTATAGTAAAATTCCTATTCACCATCGTCATGTCCACCTACCTAAATGAAGACATCATATGAAGTATTGTGAAGAAACTAAGTGTGCAAGCCAATATGATAGCGACTATCAATGAGTCTGAAATATTTTTTTTTAAACTATAATGAACGATATGAAGTTCATATTAACGAAACAATTAACTATAAGTTGGCAAATGTATGCCGTGAAAAAATATGTTGTCACATTTTAATTGTCTAACGTTCATTTTGAGAATGGATAAATATTTGAAGGCTGCTTACCATTGCTTTAACAAATGTGAATTCAAATTTAAATCAAAACATTGGAACTGTGTTGTGTTGAGTTGTAGTGTACTGTGTTTTGTTGTGTTGTGCTGTGTTGTGTTGTAATACGTTGTGTTGTGCTGTGCTGTGTTGTGCTGTGCCGTGTTTTGCTTTCTTGTACTGTGCTGTACTGTGTTATGTTGTTTTGTGCTGTGTTCTGTTGTACTATGTTGTGTTATACTGTGTTGCACATGTGTTGTGATGTGCTGTGTTGTCTTCTATTTTGTTGTATTGTGTTGTGTGCGTTTTGCTGTGTTGTGTTTCGTTACGTTGTGTTGCGATGTATTGTGTTGTGATGTGTTGTTTTGTATTGTGTTGTGCTGTGTTCTGTTGTGTTGCATTGTATTATGTTGTGTTGTGTTGCGTTGTGCTTCGTTGTGTTGGATTGTATTATATCGTGTCATTCTGTGTTGTGTTTTGCAGTGTTCTATTGTGCTGTGTTGTATTGTGATGTGATGTGCTGTGCTGATTTGTGTTGTGTTGTGCTTTTTGTGCTGTGTTTGTTGTGCTATAATGTGCTGTGTTTTGATATTCTGTTCTGCGCCGTGTCGTGCTGTGCTGTTTTGTGCTGTGTTGTACTGTGCTGTGTTGTGTTTTGCTTGCTGTGTTGTGTTAAAGTTGTTGAAGCACATAAAAGATTATATTTTAAATCGCATATCGGACTTAAAAAGTTGACATTTAAATGAAGCTTCATTTTTTTAAAGATAAAAACATTTTAATCTTCCAAACTTTGACGTATCTTCCAATAAACAATGCATTTATGCATTTTAAAATGTATTTTTAAAAATTCAAACAAAGTAGTTTACATGGTGTGTGTTTATGTAGCTATGTTTCTAAAAATACACCCTTTTCCATGTGTCAGAAAAGGCTTCGACACGCAAAAAATTTACTTGCATTTTTAGGTAATGTTACGGAACCATTTCCTACCAAGTAACAAAAACAAGTCTGTTTAAGTGGTTAAATGAGGCTTATATTTTAAATAAAGCAATGTCTAAAACAGCCCACTAACATTTAATTGTTCTTGTAGCGTAGTACGCAAAGAGCAAAGCCTTCCTGACGGTGGCCGTGCTTGACATCTCCCCCGGCAGTTCTTCCCAGCCAATCAGATCAAGATCCGCGGCCAGAAAAGTCGTGATTCGACCGAACAGCTTAAAGAAATATGCCGTCAGCTCAACCGTGATCTGTTGGAGAGAAAGGAAATAGGTCTGCTCATTCTTTTATCAACATAACGTAGCTTCAAGCGAGAATACTGGTCGGTATATTTCAATTAATGCTGTTGTAGTTTAGTCCTTTTTTAATTGTGAAGCCGAAATATGCATAAATGAATTAAGTGCAGCCACAATAGATAAAGTGTTGCATTGTTGTGATACATTACTTCAATGGCAGACAATGGTGCATCTTTAACTAAATGCCAACTTTGGATTACTGCCACGATTGTGCTCCCCCCCCCCACACACACACACACATCTATTGCATATTGTTAGTAAGAATTATTCGTTGGGTTTAAAAAGTTCCACCCGGAACAGCTACCACCCAGAGGCGTAGCTAGAGTGTTTGGCGCACTGGGAAAAGATTCAGTTTAAAGCGCCCCCCTCTTTTTTTTTTCATTTCTCAAACCCATTATTTTCAACAATAAAATAAAATCAAAGCACATTTTGGCGCCGCTAACTAGTCTGGCGCCCAGGGACATCTGCCCCCCCCCTCTCAGCTACGCGTCTGCTACCACCTTCGGCAATTCTAGATATATCACTCTTCACTAGGTTTTTTTAATAGCTTTTCTTTTAAATTTAATTTTTTAAATAATTTTTTATGAATTATCTTAGATCATTACCTCTAAACAAAATTAATAGATCTGACTTTCCCTTACAACACAATTTTCCATGCCGCCATTAAGAGGCACAGCGTTCATTCGTTGGTTTTTTGTTTTGTTTACATTAGCAACCACATAACAAGGTGTAGCAGGTGTAGCATGTCGGTTACATAATTTTGGTTTGCTAAAATTTCCATGATTAACTGCAGCGTCTCTTGTTGCGAGTACACACGCGCACCAAACTGTTTGAGTTGGCCTACGGGTGGTTGGGGTTAAATCATAGAAACCTATGAAAGTAATTTAGAGTTAAAGATTTTGTCGAAAGGAAAAAAAAAGATATTCAGCGCACATGAGTTGCGTTGTCAACGCTTTCATTTTTTTTTTTTCAAATAAAAATTATTTTGTGCAGCATTAGTGGCCTTAAAAAGTCTTGCTACAAGTTCACAGTGTGATTTATGTCTCTAAAATCATGGATTCTACGCTTCAATTACATAAACAGGAAATGAATCATGTCAAAGATTTTCTCACAGCCATAAATTTAAAAAAAGCTATTGCCCGGGATATTTAGAACGAAAGAACAAAATGTTTTCTAGCCACAGAAGGACAAAGTAGTTAGTTCTCCAGGCCCAAAGTGACGATGGGATTTCACTATTCCGGTTGGGGGGGGGGGGGGGGGATGGGGGGGGGGGGGTGATGGGGAGGGTTAGAGCTGAAACAAAAGGCCGATGGTATCTTTTGACGCCGAAGGGTCGCCTCTGTTACGTTATTTTAATTTAACTTGAGATGCCAAGGGGATTTGAGGACCGTCGACCTAAAAGCGCATCCTGCATAGTGTGAGCACATATTCAAATCAGCAACTGGTCACGTCCGGGCAATTTGAAATAAAACACATTGGAGATGACGCAAACAAGCTGTGACATGTAATGAAATGTGATGCTCTTAGACATCAAAACGTTTGAACACCTTTACTACGCTAGTCGCACTCAAATAGTGGAACCATGTGGAAAAATAGGTCAACTTAGAGAGTTGATATGTTTATATTGCTAGATTCATTTTTTTTTTAAATTTCCTGAACAATTCCGGAGTTTATTATATTGTTTCAACGGTTGGTTGTAAACATAAATACATCGACAAGGTACTGCGTTCTGGGAATAACATACATTTTTCATCATTCAGTTTAACATCTGTGACAATCGTTAACATACTATGCTGGCTGCTACGTGTGTGTCTCACTAGTTTTATAAATAGTAAAATACAACAGTCGAGAGTTTAGTATTAGCAGCACCAATTATTTATATGAGGTTGTGATATCTTTGCGGTTTCCAAAAAATTTGGTGTTTATTCTCTCATAGAGCTGTTGGAATTTGTCTGATCGTACGTGCGTGGAAATAGCAGATGATTTTAAGCTAACGTGAGGTTACCTCATTTAGATAACCACGCCATATTTTAAACAGACATTTCAATTAGGCCTACGTATATTAGCATTATTCATAGAATCACGTTTTTTTTTTTTTTTTTTTTTTTTTTTTAGAAAGTGTTTTAATGTGCCCGTCGTTATAATTGTTTAGAACCAGCGGTACTAAAAATATGTCGTGGTTTGCCTGACAATATGGCAGGATTTTTTTTTTTTGTTTTTTTTTTTTTTTTTTTTTTTTTTAATTTTTTTTTTTTTTTTTTTTTTTTTTTTTTTGTAGAAAGTGTTTTAATGTGCCCGTCGTTATAATTGTTTAGAACCAGCGGTACTAAAAATATGTCGTGGTTTGCCTGACAATATGGCAGGGGTTGCTTGACGCTTGAGAACTTCCGAGATTTGAATTTTTATGGGGAAATAAACTAGCAATTTATCATTTTTGTATCAACTTTCAGTAATTGGACTATTGACTAATGGTCACTAGACAGTGACTTTCTTTGCCAAGACTTTAGAAAATATTTTTTTTAATACTTAAAAAAAAAATAATAATAAGTTTCTCAATCAGTAAACTGTACATCTATATCCATTTTTTTTTTTTTAATCTCAAGGCGCAATGGGGATCTACCACATCTTGCTGGCTACCATCGTGCTCTTTGCCATCATGACTGCACTTGTTTCCGGGGATATCCCGACCACTAAACTGAGCTGCAGTGCCGTGTACGAACTGTGTAAGTCAGACAACGGCGTGTTCTCTGGCACAGAATGTGACACGATGCTGCGAACGTGTCTTCGTTGAATGGTTTGGCCAAGATGTCATTGGCGTGTGGGGGGGGGGGAGACGATAAGCCCCAAGGAGTTCAAGTGAACGAATTTAAACGAAGTGCATAGTAGATAGAGCCTTAAAAACTACAAAGAATGTCAGGCTGTTCGTATAATTTTCATATTATTGTTTTCAAAACTCGTATTTTTATTTCAGTTAAATTTTTAAAAGCCAATCGTGTGTTAATGTTTTATTTCATTAAAGATTCGTTTAAACTTTTTGTGTAAAATTGAATTTTTAAAATGACTTTAAAATAATAAATGTCACAAGGAAAAGAGATTAATAAATATGTATGGCACACTTTAAAATAACGTTCTCCTTTTTTTCTTCATTTTTATTTTAAAGTACATTTTGTTTAATAAAAAGTAACGTCTATCATTTTTATAATTTCCATATTTTTTTTATCCAACTAATTAAAGTTTTTAATTCTATTAACTTGTTTTACTTTCCTTTTTGAGTATTTAAGTTCACAAAGCTTCTTGAGACCGACCCTCATCTTACGGAAAAGCACAACAAATCAGACATATAAGTTACAACAGACACAACTTATAACACACGACTCTGTACAACTTCCACATAAAACAACCAGCCAAGTGTACACAACTCACCACACCTACAACTTATCACACCTACAACTTATCACATCCATAACTTACCACATAGACAACACAGGCAGCAACAAACATCACAGAGAGAATCCTTGCAGGATACCTAAAGCCTGTCGTGTTTTAAAAGCAAGACTTGTAAACAGAATTGTTTTTAAAAGACAAAATGTTTTATAATAAGACTTTTTTTAATGTTTCAGGGATTTAACTAGAATAATTAGTGTATTTAAATTTAATAAATTTTGACTGCCTAGATGAAAATCTTTCAATTTTTTTTAACAAAGACTTGGAAACAATAGTATTTAAACTGCATACATCCCTGAGTCTGTACTTCAAAGTTCCACTTAACTTTCTAATAAAAATATCATCAGGTACATTTTTTTCAACACCTTGATAACTCTTTAGAGAAATCGTGGCTCAACGCTATCGAACAATTCTCAACATTCAAAGCCAAAAAGAAATGCTAATGTTAAATAAAATTTTAAAAATCTTACTCACCCTTTTCTCTGTGATAAATCCAGCTGTGTATTTTTTCCATCACAAACGCTTTTATGACATTCTTCATGCCCTCTGGCTCTCTAAAAACACAGGAAAATAAGTTTAACCGTAATCCATTTCCTGCGTATATCTAATATAATTATCTTCAATTTAACACTGCAATTTTTGTTTTATCAATGCTAAATTCACACGATCACATGTTCTTCAAATTTGCGTCAAAATTCTTTTTGAGCGCACTATTTAATACAACAAAATAGTGCGTTCAAAAAGAAATTTGACGCAAATTTGAAGAAAATTGGATGAAAATTCGATCATGTGATCTGAGCATTAGAACAACGTCAGAAACAGGGGAAAATGAATCAGGCGTAAAGGCATTTTGAATCGACATGGTAACAGTGCTACTTGCGTTTGTTGAACTGCAATAAATGTTTTAGAAAAGTTTCATAACTTTCATTTAAAAATCGATTTAATAAAGTTTTTGTCGTGATGTAATATTCTGATAGGACTAATTTAAATACATATATACATGTCGTTGTGTATTTAGGGTATGGGGGTAAAATAATCCCTTAGCACCCAGCAATACCCAAATAAAAGCTTGCTTTGAATACGGTATTTACAGTTATAATGAAAATTAAAAGAAAATTATCAAATTAATGACGCAGATATTGTTTTATGATGGCGCCCCCTTGTCACTCGTCCAAATCCACAGACTCATCAAGTTGCGCCCCTTTACTTTCACTTACTTGACTATCTCCGGTTTCGTGAGTAGTTTTCTCACATGCTGACCCTGGTAGGAGTTTCTGATGGCCTCTAGCGTCTCGTCGGGGGGCCTCTCCCCCAGGTTCGACTTGAAGTACTTCCGCTTCTGCAAGGCAATCACGAATCTCACGGGCAGGGTGATGCTGAGGTAGGCGAGACACCCCAGGCTAGGCAGCCTCCTAACGAATAGCACGGCCCGGCCTGACTAGAGGTGGGGAAATTTAAACAGAATGAGTTGGCGTCGCTTAAAGCTTAAAATTGAATGCGTCGACGTGGATTTCAGCTTCCGAGTCATGGAGTCATGGAGTCATAGTCATCGAGGCGGAGTCGTGAGGCTAAATTCTTAGATCAGTTTTAGTCCTACGTCAGTTGTCCCACCTCAGTTTTCCCACCTCGGTTATCCCACTTCAGGTGTTCCATTTTGATTGTCGCATTTTGATTGTCCCACTTCACTTGTCCCCCTTTGGCATCCCACTTCTGTTATCCCACTTTGGTTGTCCCACTTCGGTTATCCCACTTCGATTCTTCTCTGAAGAGGTTTAGGGAAGAAAAAAAACTCCAGAAAGTCCCAATTACCCATGTAATAAACCTTTTTCAAAAACGATTAATTTCGCCAAATGGGCAAGATAGTCATATATAATGGGCAAGATAGTCATATATAATGGACAAGATAGTCATATATAATGGGCAAGATAGTCATATATAATGGGCAAGATAGTCATATATAATGGGCAAGATAGTCATATATAATGGGCAAGATAGTCATATATAATGGGCAAGATAGTCATATATAATGGGCAAGATAGTCATATATAATGGGCAAGATAGTCATATATAATGGGCAAGATAGCCATATATAATGGGCAAGATAGTCATATATAATGGGCAAGATAGCCATATATAATGGGCAAGATAGCCATATATAATGGGCAAGATAGCCATATATAATGGGCAAGATAGTCATATATAATGGGCAAGATAGTCATATATAATGGGCAAGATAGTCATATATAATGGGCAAGATAGTCATATATAATGGGCAAGATAGCCATATATAATGGGCAAGATAGCCATATATAATGGGCAAGATAGCCATATATAATGGGCAAGATAGTCATATATAATGACCTTAAATTTATATTTGTTTTAAAATTGTTCTACTGAATAATTTATTAGCAGTAAGGAGACAGCATAAAATTAGGTGCTAATATATACATCATTTTCATGGGTAGCTTTTTTTTTTCATTTATCTTGATATCAGAAGGGGGCCGGGGGAATCAGTGTATGTGAACGCCAGCAATGGAGACAGTTTTTTGAAGATTTGAGACTCTTGAGACAGCTATTTACATATTTGTGTTACTACTACTACAACTGTGACTGTGCCCCGTGTCTGGCGTTCCCAGACCCACTGTCCAAACAAAGCTCGTGAATCTTTAACTTCATCTACCGTTGTTGCTATATGAGGATGTTGCTGTTTGTCATAAGTTAAGAACAGTGGCTGTCCATTTACCAGCGTAAAGCTGCACTCGCTGAGTCTGTACAGGTCCACGACGAAGAACATCCACACGTACAGTGCCCCGATCCCGAAGGAGAAGGCGGTGTTCAGTGCCAGGCAAGCGAACACGGGGAAGAAGACGATGCCGTAGATGATCATGGAGAAAATGGCCATCAACGCTGGCAGTGTGGGAGAAAAAAATAATAATATGGTAGGGAGTGCAAGTACCAAAAATATTGTTGAAGGCTGTGTGGCGTCTGTTAGAAAAGATCTTAAAAATTAAATTCTTAGAATAAACCCGAAAAGGTTTGCGCAAGAAACGTTAAACTAAATTAAGAAATAGCTGTTGGTTCATCGATGACGTCTATTAACTGTCAAACAATTTATAGAAAAAATTCTTATTGAAGCAACTTTATCATTTATATTGTCAACCTTTATCATTTACATTGTCAACTTTTATCATTCACATTGTCAACGTTATCATTCATAATGCCAACTTTATCATTTATGTGTCAAATTTATCATTTATATTGTCAACTTTATCATTTATATTGTCAACTTTGTCATTTATATGTTCAAATTTATCATGCATATTGTCAACTTTATCATTTATTTTGTCAACTTTATCATTTATACTATCAACATTATCATTAATATTAACAACTTTATCGTTGACATTGTCAACCTCATTATTTATATTGTCAACTTTATCGTTTATGTTGTCAACCTTATCCTTGATATTGTCAACTTTATCATTGACATTGTCAACTTTAATGAAGCTCACTTGATACGGCCAGTGCTCCCGAGTAATCGATGGCGAACTGGTGCTGAATCGAAATCTGGTAGACGACAAACGCAGTAGCACCAAATGCACTGGCGTATGAGATTTTTGAGGAACGTGTCAGTGTGTCCATTGGGCTGGACAAATACATAGTAACATTATTGTTTCATTCACGTGTCAGTGTGTCCATTGGGCTAGAGAACATTTTTAGTAAAAAAAAAACACACTCTGATGGCCGTAATGGGTCCATTTAAGGTAGGAAATATTAGGTAATTTTTTTTAAATTTTTTTTTATTAATTTTTTTTGGGTGACTGTGTTAGTGGGTTATAGAATTATAAAAGTAACGTTTATTGTTTACGAAAGTTATACTCGTTGTAAACAAGAAATCAGAGATAAAATGCCTGAAATACTAATTCCTAAGTAATCCCCAAACTTGTTGATGTTTTTTTTTTTTTACTTACAACAAGAGTCCAGGTCTTCCATTCAAAAAGTCTAACAAAATTCTTCTTCTAACAGTTGTGGCCGCCATGAGCAGTGTCAGCAGGCACTGAAATACGAAACAAAATTGGCTCTTTTTTAAAAGTTTCTTTTGATTTGATTTTAATTTTTTTTTTTTTTTTTTTTTTTTTTTTTCAGTTAAATACCAGATAGTATAATTTAAATAGTTTAGCATTATTAAATGTGTAGACATTAAAGGGAAGTAAATGTACATTTAAGTTAATACACAATTTAAATTTCATTTGCTCCCTTGTCTGGGTGTTCAGTGTTAGTGTCTTTTTGTTCAATGGGCTTAACACTACTTTTTTATACCCGCCCTAAAGGTTTTATACATGTACAACAATTTTATTTACTAAATATTTATTGATAAACCAATCCTGTATGAAAGCGTTAGTATTGAAATGTCGATAGTCTTTCATCCGTGGAGTAGGAAGGGGGGTGCTCAAGGGGTGGCAATTTTTTCTTTATATTTAGGCATGTTCGGCGAATGGTTATCACCCCCTTCCCCATATAAAAAAACCTTGTCCCACCCCCTGACCCCACAAACAACACCACTACCACTAATAAGTCAACTTACCGCTGGTATGAGTGAAAACTGATAGAACTTGTAAGGGTCTATGCTACTGACACACGGTTCACTGAAAATATACTCGTGCTTAAATATGTTTCTCATCAAAAAACATAATTTTTTTAAAAGGCCAAAAAAATTTTTTTTTTTTAAATTATAAAAAAAATTATAAAACAAACATTTATTTTCATGGTACTGTGTCATTAAAAGTTTCAACGTCGTTAACTTTCTACTAGAAATGAACTGTTTCAACCAAGCGGAGGCCAGTATCTTGATGCTACATTAAAGCACTTGCCGTATGCACATAAATGATGGGGATAAGCTAACTATTTTATAACTGGGGGTTTAACAATAGGTGCTTCTCTGAGATTGTTCTTATTTCTTTGTTTTTGTTTTGTTGTTTTTTTTAGGGGGTGAGGTTGATGCGGAGGGGGGTGGAGGTGGGGTATTTTAATTAATAGTCACTTAAATGTATTCAACAATTCATTATCTTGTGCATCGTTATGTTTATATGCCCTGATTATCGATTTTTATCCGCCTCTGGGTACTCCTTAGATACGCCCATGATGGGGTCAGTTAGCATTGCTACCCTTGGTTACTTAGAGAAGAAATCGAGTTCATTTCATCACAGTTATAAACCAATGTCATGATGCTTTCAACATTCTTAACACATACATTCAAATTTCAAGACGGCACCATCATATTTTAAGAACTATTAAAACAAATCATTATCATTCACGACGCACTCCAACCCCCCCCCCCCCCCCAAAAAAAAAAAAAAAAAAAACTCCCAGAATTTACTACTGGTGATTATGAAATATTTTTCCTACTCTACCCCCCCCCCCAACCCCTTTTTTCAGATGTGCGATCTAACAGTGAACTTTTATAAATGATGCGCCACACAGTATTATGAAATATTTTTCCTACTCTTCCCCCCCCCCCAACCCCTTTTTTCAGATGTGCGATCTAACAGCGAACTTTTATAAATGATGCGCCACACAGTTCTCCAAGGGACCAGCTATACTTACAAGCCCGTGGCGTTGCTGTCGGTGGCCGCCTGGAAGAAATAACTGAACCCGCTGACAAACGTATCCGTCATTGTTTGAGGTTGATTATCACCGACACCGACAGGAAACGGGAGTGAAGAGATTATCACCGACAACGACAGGAAACGGGAGTGGAGAGATTATCACCGACACCGAGAGGAAACGGGAGTGAAGAGATTATCGTCTGGTGTTTACTGTGGAGGTCTCCCGCTCACCGTATCACAATGTTTGTAAAATATCCGGCACGGTTTTGAATTAATTTTTATGAGAAGAATCCTTACACATTAGATAGAGATAGGTTTTTATTTAAATTTTCTTTTCATTCTGCTTGGCACTGTTTATGTTGGTCTAGAACTATTTTGTCACAACCGGGACCCACTCCTTAGTTCGAACATCGCACGTCTCTATTTAGGTCTTAGCTGCGCTTCCAAAAATGAACTGTGTTCCATATCAGGCTCTTTGTGATCCTCGCTGAAGACGAGATCATATCCAGATGTAAACGGAATTATTTCAGATCTCGAACATTGAGCCTTGAGAGTTGCCTTATGTAGCAAGTAATGCTTGTGCCTGTGTCGGTTCTGCACAAACCTGAGAGACGATGAATCAGAAAAAGTTTTGATTTTTAAATTAACTTGAACGTTATTTTTTTTTAAATTATTTTAGTATTTCATTTCAACTTTTTTTTTAAAGATGACTCATTAACAATGATGATCAAAAGATATTAAGGGGCTTTACTCCACAAGAAGGAAATGTTTACGACAAGCCAACTAGAATACTAAATAGCACCAAAATCATTAACTGGAGAAAAAATATATATCATGAAGAACGATGCAAGCAAAAGATAGAAAACTTATTACATAAAAATAACTCAAAAGGCTTGTCGGGCTGGTGTGAAACAAATAACAGAATGTATACTTAAGCACGAATGCTTGTATATTAATGAGCATATTCTGCAGTGCAAAAATTGAAAGCCTACTTAACGTCAGCAATACTTGCTAGTGTGGGTATTCATTGCTTCTCATCAAACACCAATCAAATAGACTTATCAAGAAAGGAAGGAATATCGCTTAAACTAAACTACCTTCGCTTGAAGCAATAAGCCTTTGTAAAACTAAACAAAAATATATATTTTTTAATGGCTGATATATCTCATCCTCTTTATCATTAATACCTTAGATCAGCTCGCTCAGGGCGAATTCGTTCCCTCAAAGTCATGACCGAAAGATATAAAAAAAAATTTCATTTGTTCCAAAATAAATAATTTAACAGCATGCTCCACTGGCTGTAAAAAAATATCTAAATAATCATTCTAATATTAAGTCCACATTGTAACTAATTGAGATGAGTTCCATGGCATACGATACTAATTGAGTGGGGTTCCATGGCACATGACAGCTGATTTTGTGTGCTTAAGAAATACTTTTAGATGTCATATGTTAAATTGTTCTAGATTAAAAATATTTGCGTATAAGAATTTTATTTATGTGCTTAAAATGAGTATGTACATTGTAAATTTTTTTTTAAGCATTCCTATCTCTTTGGATCAGTAAAAATAAAAAAAAATAAATCATAATCTTAAAAAACAGAACTTTTTCATAACTTAACGAATTCCCAGTTTTATTTGACACACTCAGCCGGTTTTTTCCCTCTTTTATTTTTATCGAGATGTATCAACTTTTGGAAGTGTGTCATGGCTTGTGTACTAGCACTAACTAATCCATTGCTTCCCAAACTGGGGGCTCTCGCACATCCAGAGTAGAAATAAAGTAGCATTGGGGTGGGGCAATAGCCAGAAAATGTGATTTAAACAAACAGGAATATAACCGTTGAATTTAGATTTAGGATATAATCTATTCGGGAATTCCAGATGTTTTTTTTCCTCCAAAAAATCGATGGGGTGCAGAGTAGAAACAAGTGTTGGGAAGCCCTGTTCTAATCTAACCCTTCTGTGCCTTCAGCTGTTATCGCGTTCGACCCGGTTAAAACAGTCGGAGCATTTAATCAATGATGCTTTGATTGTTTGTTTTAACAATTGTCTTACTTTAAGATATGCGCAAATCGTATTAATGAATGTTTCCTTATTTTTTGGTAATCGGTGAAATGTAGCTAATCGGTAAAATTTAGCTAATCGGTGAAATGTATAGTTAAACAGACAGACAGACAGACAGACAGACAGACAGACAGACAGACAGACAGACAGACAGACAGACAGACAGACAGACAGACAGACAGACAGACAGACAGACAGGCAGGCAGGCAGGCAGGCAGGCAGGCAGGCAGGCAGGCAGGCAGGCAGGCAGGCAGGCAGGCAGGCAGGCAGGCAGACAGACAGACAGACAGACAGACAGACAGACAGACAGACAGACAGACAGAAAGACAGACAGACAGACAGACAGACAGACAGACAGGCAGACAGGCAGGCAGACAGACAGACAGACAGGCAGGCAGGCAGGCAGGCAGGCAGGCAGGCAGATAGACAGACAGATAGACAGATAGATAGATAACTCCTAATTACATGCTTTGATTATCAAAATATCGTCATTTCTTGGAAGAAAATGGCCCCGGAAGGGGGTGGGGGGAGTAAAATTTTTATTCAGGGGGGACCGGCCCTTTTGCTTTGAAGGACTGGGAAGATAAATAGCACGAAGGAATTACCGATTCTTAGTTGCATTATTACTAAATAGAACATTTCTTTGTAAGTTGTAACAATGCTGTCGACTGATAAAGTGATCACTTGATAACCTCACTAAAACTAATAATTTTTGTAATGTTAAGTTAAAAGATGGAAAACTTGGATTTTAAAGACAGCATAGTTACCAACCGTCGATGACAATGTACGGCTGGGGGGAAACTTCACGCGGAATAACAAATACAAAATATAACATACGCAAGGATGTCGCTAGGAAATCACTGGCGTAGGCGTGGGTGAGAAGGGTGGCGCTATTTTTTTGTGGGGGTTTGGAAGGGGGGGGGTGCAATTTCAGACAATTGAAACGAAATATTTTTTTTTTTTTTGGTTTTGTTTTTGGATTGTAGAAAGACACAGGACACCGGACAAATGTTGTTTTCCCACGAAAATATTAAACACCTTAGGGCTCTACGCTAAATGTTTGATGGATATAGTTAGTGGCGTACCGTACAGCTACACGTACAGCTACATGCTGTATGTTTTATGTGTATTGTTAGTGGCGTACCGTACAGCTACATGCTGTTTGTTTTATGGGTATTGTTAGTGGCGTACCGTACAGCTACATGCTGTATGCTTGATGGGTATTGTTAGTGGCGTACCGTACAGCTACATGCTGTATGTTTTATGGGCATTGTTAGTGGCGTACCGTACAGCTACATGCTGTATGTTTTATGGGCATTGTTAGTGGCGTACCGTACAGCTACATGCTGTGTGTTTGATGGGTATTGTTAGTGGCGTACCGTACAGCTACATGCTGTATGCTTGATGGGTATTGTTAGTGGCGTACCGTACAGCTACATGCTGTATGTTTGATGGGTATTGTTAATAGCGTGCGTGATTAAGGGGCCGCAAACTCAAAGAGGGTCACAAAACCTAGCCATCTTTTTTAAAAGCACGTATTGGAAAATAGAAAAGTAAGAAGCACATTAAACGTAGCGAAAAGCATCACAAAATTGTAACAGAACGAAGAAACACAAAAATATCCTAATGACAGATATGAATATCCCATATTGGAAAACGGCGGGCCACAGACAGACCATCAAGATCAGATTAAGCCTTGTTCATTCACGTCCCAGAGTGCAATGCTAAAGAGCATTGAGGTAAATTCATGTCTGTCTGTCTGTCTGTCTGTCTGTCTGTCTGTCTGTCTGTCTGTCTGTCTGTCTGTCTGTCTGTCTGTCTGTCTGTCTGTCTGTCTGTCTGTCTGTCTGTCTGTCTGTCTGTCTGTCTGTCTGT